AATCGCAACCATGAAATTTCTATGTTTCGGAACTTTAAATTTGTTCCATTATCAAGCGATGTTAGGTAACTTTTGATGAAAATGATTTACTCTTGAAAACAGAATTGTACTTTATTGAAGAGTTTAAGAAGGAGGGGCAACAATATTTTATGTGTATGTCCTGTTTGATGGAATCAAAAGACACATTTAGCTAAACTAGAAAAGCGAGAAATATAGCTTAGAGGTTTGAGGGGTGCTATTCATATTTGTCTAGATGAACTGTCATTTTTAGATGTGTTACCATTACTTCCGGCTCAAAGTGCTAACACTCATATTAGCCTAAGAAACGTTCAAGGAAACCAGCTGGATCTGTCTCAAACAATGTCAGATTTCCCCGTAATGTGATCAGCCTGGTGCGCTTGTGATCGGGTGCGGGAAGACGTGGCACCCACCAAGCAGAAACCTTCGTCTTGCTAAGTTCATTGTGCAGAATATTCTGCACACTCTCGCAGGATTTACTAACAACATTGATTTATAGTCAGTCAATCGCCTGTTATGTCTCGGCGTGAACACGATCAATATTTTTTTTTTTTTTTGCAGGATGCCCAGAACTTGGGTCAACCTCGAGACTGTACCATCCTCTATTAAATTCAACCTTCCACTTTTGCCCTGTTACTAAGGCTGGAACGTTATCCATTAATGTTGCAACCATATCTGCGTGAATGTCCTTGGAGGCCAAACCCCTTTTATGCAGGTACTTAAAAGCACGATGCCAGATTTTTATCCATTTTCAAGAGAAATTGCGACTAGTTACGTTTGAAGCCTTTTTTGAATAGTCAGATGCAAGTTTACCCGGAAGGAAACTCGGCAGCTATTAATAAAAAGAGTTGGAATAAATGAACGCATAATTTCACTGCACTAGAATTATTCCCACATAGTCAATCAAGAACGTTTTAGCCCCTTTTCATATATGCAGGTGTAAGTTTTTATGCTTATATATATATATATATATATATATATATATATATATATATATATATATATATATATATATATATGTATGTATATATATATATATATATGAGGCACGGTGGAGTAATGGATAGGAATTGAGGAATCGGAGAGCCGAGTTCGAATTCCAATCGAATCCACTACATTCATACGTGCTAATATCTTTGGGAAAGGTACGAATCCTCTTCTTCTTCCTCAGACAGACTGGGTTCTATAGCCTTGGATGGCAACTAGTCTAGGAGAAAGGCAACTCTGAATTCAAACCCGGAGTGGATCCTCTAAGGCGGATGGACGGCACTTTGTGCTACCTTCCGGCAACTCCTGCAGCCGCGCTGGTACCAAATTGTATTGGTTTACCCTCTCCTTGGACTCTGCTAGCCAGGCTGAGGGGGGAACTAGACGTCTGGGCAGCCCTAGCTTTCCATATATATCGCCCAGGCTTGTAGCGCACTGAGCTACTCCATCGTCTCTCGAGACGGACGGATGTCGATATATATATATATATATATATATATATATATATATATATATATATATATATATGTGTGTGTGTGTGTGTGTGTGTGTGTGTGTGTTTTGTTTGTTTTTTTGTTTGCCCTTTAAGACGAATTTCTTTTTTTCAAAATTTTTGACACTTTACTTTGCGTCTATTCTTCGGATACTTTTTTTACTTTTTTTCCCCGAGTTTTATTCCCAATTTACAATTCATTTTCTCATCGTTTTCTTTTATTATCTGCAGATTTTTCCTAAAATTGCATTTCCATTTTTACTTCCAAGGGATGCTACATATTTTGCTGAATATTTTCTCTCAATCTTCATTCTAAAATTTTCTTTGTAAAATTTCCCTTCTAAAATATTCTTTCCAAAATTTCCCTTCCAAAATTTTCTTTCCAAAACTTCCCTTCCAAAATTTTCTTTCCAAAACTTCCTTCCAAAATTTTCTTTCCAAAATTTCCTTCCAAAATTTTCTTCCAAAATTTTCTTTCCAAAATTTCCCTTCCAAAATTTTCTTTCCAAAATTTCCCTTCCAAAATTTTCTTTCCAAAACTTCCCTTCCAAAATTTTCTTTCCAAAATTTCCCTTCCAAAATTTTCTTTCCAAAATTTCCCTTCCAAAATTTTCTTTCCAAAATTTCCCTTCCAAAATTTTCTTTCCAAAACTTCCCTTCCAAAATTTTCTTTCCAAAATTTCCTTTCAAAATTTTTTTCCAAAATTTCCCTTCCAAAATTTTCTTTCTAATATTTCCCTTCCAAAATTTTCTTTCCAAAATTTCCCTTCCAAAATTTTCTTTCCAAAATTTTCTTTCCAAAATTTCCCTTCCAAAATTTTCTTTCTAAAATTTCCTTCAAAATTTTTTTCAAAATTTCCCTTCAAAATTTTCTTTCAAAATTTTCTTTCCAAAATTTCCTTCCAAAATTTTCTTTTTCTAAAATTTCCCTTCCAAAATTTTCTTTCCAAAATTTCCCTTCCAAAATTTTCTTTCCAAAACTTCCCTTCCAAAATTTTCTTTCCAAAACTTCCTTCCAAAAATTTTCTTTCCAAAATTTACCTTCCAAAATTTTCTTTCCAAATATTCCCTTCCAAAATTTTCTTTCCAAAATTTCCCTTCCAAAATTTTCTTTCCAAAACTTCCCTTCCAAAATTTTCTTTCCAAAATTTCCCTTCCAAAATTTTCTTTCCAAAATTTCCCTTCCAAAATTTTCTTTCCAAAATTTCCCTTCCAAAATTTTCTTTCCAAAATTTTCTTTCCAAAATTTCCCTTCCAAAATTTTCTTTCCAAAACTTCCCTTCCAAAATTTTCTTTCCAAAACTTCCCTTTCAAAATTTTCTTTCCAAAATTTCCCTTCCAAAATTTTCTTTCCAAAATTTCCCTTCCAAAATTTTCTTTCCAAAATTTTCTTTCCAAAATTTCCCTTCCAAAATTTTCTTTCTAAAATTTCCCTTCCAAAATTTTCTTTCCAAAATTTCCCTTCCAAAATTTTCTTTCCAAAATTTTCTTTCCAAAATTTCCCTTCCAAAATTTTCTTTCTAAAATTTCCCTTGCAAAATTTTCTTTCCAAAATTTTCTTTCCAAAATTTTACTTCCTCAATTCCTTTATTTGTGTTTCGCGTTTTCTTTTCATTTATACTTATCTTCCGATATTGATTTTCAAATTTTTCTTCAGGACTCATTCCTTTTTCCCCTTCCTGATCCATTCTCAAAAATTTCTTTATGAATTCTCATCTTAGTTTTACTTCCAGATTTCTTCCCAATTTTACCCTTATTTCGTTCCATCATCTTTGTCAAGAATTTATTCAGTAATCTTCCTATTTTTTTTCGTCATTTCACCTGAAGCATGGCGATAATGCCGCTAAGATTCAAGGGTTTACTTACAAGGAAATACAGTGAGAAAACTTCACCGAGGAGAAATGGCAATAGAAAAAACAGGTAACAGACAGGCAGAAAATAGAAATTGACGCTGCATTTAAATTTTTAAAGAAAGTAGTTGGTAGGGAAGAAAGAAATTGGAAGAGAGTTAAACAGGTGAGAAGTGCGAGAAATGAAACTATTAGAATAGAACTTACATTAAATCGATGCTAGTTATTTGCCTATGGAGTATAATGCTTAAATTTATTTACTCGAGGGAGCAAGGAGGAAAGCCTATTAGAAAAATTGCCCTGAAAATATTTATAGAAAAGACAAGTAAATCTCAGCCCGGCAGTGGTTTAGCGGTTGAAGTCAATATGCCAGTACAGGATTGATGACAGTAGAGACCATTTTAGAGATTTTTTCAATTATCTCAAGTTATATGCAAGGTACGATGAATAAATTGTCGTCTGAAGTGCGCAAAAAATGAAAATAACACTGACAACTCATTTTAACGGATATACAGTATGCGATGGATAAATTGTCGTCTAAATGACGCAAAAATAAAAATAACACTGACATCTCATTTTAACAGATATATTTACCACAAGAATATCTTGAAATACTAAACAGTAAATGTATTCCCTAAAATCGCCATCGGCTTCAACCACGTCCTCCAGACGACTTCGGAATCTCCTGCAACTCTTCTGGGCCGTCTCCTTGTTTAAGTTGGTGAATGCAGCCATAATCCTTGCCTCCATTCATCTTTGGTGTTACAAGGAGTTCTGTTGCACTCTCGCTCAACTGGCCCCCACACATAATAATCAAGGGCGTTGAAGACTGGGGAGTTAGGTGGCGAGGTGTAAGAGGTGATGTGGTCGCAGAAATTGTCTGACAGCCATGATTGTGTTCTCCAGCTTTTGTGGCATGGTGTATTCTGTTACAAGACTTAAGTTCTTCCAACAGCCACCCCCTTGATCCAGGACAGCACTACCTCCTCAAAGCACTCGATGTGGGCCTCCGTATTGAATATGAGGCTCTGTGAGAAGATTAATAGAGGCATAACATCGTTATCACTAGTGATCACTACAAGCACCATGATGAATTCTCTGCCCTGCCATCAGATTGATACCCAAACATACTTAAATCTTCATGCTGGGGATTCCGGTGCGAATGCCAAGCAGTATATCATGCCGTTTCCAAATTTCTGGCGAAGGGAATTGCGTCATGCTGCTCTTTTTCTCACATACGGTGCCCAACTGACCCTACTCTTCTGTGCCGTCAATAAAATCAAAAACAAAAAACGCGCATGACCGAAATTAAAAATATAAAATGGCGACAATTTACCCGTCACAATCTGTAGTAGGAGAACCAGGCCAGATATGGCAGTAATATTCAATGTATGTGTGAATGGTAGATTTTGAAATGTGCAAGAGAGATTCTGGTGAGAGAAATTGTCTGACACGACACAGGGAACCAATTTTCTTAGCAGGAAACGTAAAATTGATTTAATATAATCCCTCTACTTTATGTTAGGGGATAACGTGAGACTGAGATGGTATATTGAGTTTCATTTGTGATGGTTAGCACCAGCTATTAAAATAGAATACAAATTGCTTCCACATTTTTTACCAGTATTCTTAAACTTTCCTTCACAGTTTTCATGTTCTTACTTCTTGTTTCTTTCTCAAATTTTTCTTCGCGAAATTTCTTCCTAATTTTTATTTTAATTCATTTTTCTTTCTATTATTTTTGCTGTAATTTTTTAATATTTTTTTTTATTCTTCCTTTTCCCCAGTGATTCTTTCCCATCTTTGTTCCAAGATTCTTTCTTTATTGTTCCAAGTTCCCTTCTTTATTATTGAAACTTTCTTTCTTTATTGTTTCATTCTTTACTTCTCCAAGTTTCTTTCTGTATTGTTCCGAGATTTCTTCTATATTATTCCAACTTTCATTTTTTTTATTGTTCCAAATTTCTTTCTTTATTGTTGCAAATTTCCTTCTTTATTATTTAAAGTTTCTTTCTGTATTTTTCCGAGATTTCTTCTATATTATTCCAACTTTCATTTTTTTATTGTTCCAAATTTCTTTCTTTATTGTTGCAAATTTCCTTCTTTATTATTTAAAGTTTCTTTCTGTATTTTTCCGAGATTTCTTCTATATTATTCCAACTTTCATTTTTTTTATTGTTCCAAATTTCTTTCTTTATTGTTGCAAATTTCCTTCTTTATTATTTAAAGTTTCTTTCTGTATTGTTCCGAGATTTCTTCCATATTATTCCAACTTTCATTTTTTTTATTGTTCCAAATTTCTTTCTTTATTGTTACAAATTTCCTTCTTTATTATTTAAAGTTTCTTTCTGTATTGTTCCGAGATTTCTTCTATATTATACCAACTTTCATTTTTTTTATTGTTCCAAATTTCTTTCTTTATTGTTGCAAATTTCCTTCTTTATTATTTAAAGTTTCTTTCTGTATTATTCCGAGATTTCTTCTATATTATTCCAACTTTCATTTTTTTTATTGTTCCAAATTTCTTTCTTTATTGTTGCAAATTTCCTTCTTTATTATTTAAAGTTTCTTTCTGTATTTTTCCGAGATTTCTTCTATATTATTCCAACTTTCATTTTTTTATTGTTCCAAATTTCTTTCTTTATTGTTGCAAATTTCCTTCTTTATTATTTAAAGTTTCTTTCTGTATTTTTCCGAGATTTCTTCTATATTATTCCAACTTTTTTTTTTTTATTGTTCCAAATTTCTTTCTTTATTGTTGCAAATTTCCTTCTTTATTATTTAAAGTTTCTTTCTGTATTGTTCCGAGATTTCTTCTATATTATTCCAACTTTCATTTTTTTTATTGTTCCAAATTTCTTTTTCTTTATTGTTGCAAATTTCCTTCTTTATTATTTAAAGTTTCTTTCTGTATTTTTCCGAGATTTCTTCTATATTATTCCAACTTTCATTTTTTTTATTGTTCCAAATTTCTTTCTTTATTGTTGCAAATTTCCTTCTTTATTATTTAAAGTTTCTTTCTGTATTTTTCCGAGATTTCTTCTATATTATTCCAACTTTCATTTTTTTATTGTTCCAAATTTCTTTCTTTATTGTTGCAAATTTCCTTCTTTATTATTTAAAGTTTCTTTCTGTATTGTTCCGAGATTTCTTCTATATTATTCCAACTTTCATTTTTTTTATTGTTCCAAATTTCTTTCTTTATTGTTGCAAATTTCCTTCTTTATTATTTAAAGTTTCTTTCTGTATTGTTCCGAGATTTCTTCTTTATTGTTCCAAATTTCCTTCTTTATTTTTGCAAGTCTCTTTCTTTATTCTTGCAAGTTTTATTCTTTATCCTGAATTCCTCAATTTTTTTCTTTCTAATTTTTCTTTCTGGATTTCTTTAAAATTTGCCCCGTGTCTATTTTGTTTTCTTTGCGTCTCTTTACAATAAGATGAAAACTGATTTTCCGATTTCTGTCATCTGATGATCTTGGGAACTGCGTGTTTCAAAAATGAATCTCCCGCTTCCTGAAATCCGTACAACAATAGCAAACGTTTCATTATTATTAACAATACAAATAACAAATCAATAGACAACAATTTAAGTATTCCCCTATAAGAGCTGCTGACTCCTCCGGAGATACTTTCCCGATCACTTCAACTTCAGGGTCAACAGTTCTATATAAACACATAATCTAAACTTTTTCCTTACTCCTCCATAAATACAGACTTTTAGCAACCCTCTACCTTGTGCGTCTCTTGGGTCTTTTATTGGAAAAAAATATGGCGTAAAAACTGTGAAATTAATAAAACCTTCCTAAGGATGTGGGCAGAATCCATGAGCATAATCTTTAATAATAATAATAATAATAAATATTATTATTATTTATCATTTTATTATTATTATTATTATTATTATTATTGTCATCATCATCATCATCATCATCATAATCATCATCGTTTTTGTATGTTTCCTCCTGAGTATCCTGTAGAGTCGGGTCCAAACCATGGTCCTTAGGCCCTATAGGAGAAGTGTGATTTAACTGATAGCACTTTTATTTGTATATGTGATGTTCCTAGTCGGGTGATTTCTGGTCATCTTGTATACTGATGTTACCCGGGACACTGTTAATAAAATTGCCCATCCCTTTTCTCACAAGACCCAGAGCTCCGATTACTATTGGTACAGTCCCAGTCTTCATTCCCCACATCCTATTAATCCCGATCTCCATGTCGTTGCATTTGGACAATTTCTCGATAATTTTTTATGCAGGTGTTTCTCTCATATGGTACCGCTATGTCAATAAGCATACACTTCCTGAATGTCTTGTCTTTTATAATAATATCAGGTCTGTGGCTTTTATTTCCTTGTCACTTTCGATTGGCATGTCCCAGAGGATAGTTACAACATTATTTTGGGTAACTGTGTCTCGTTGGTGCTCATACAATCTCCCAGGAGCTTATTTTTTGTGCTTATTTTTTGGCATTTCTCCCATTGCATATATGTCGCTACCGTGCTATGTCTGTGGGTATATTCATTTTTGCTGGTTCTTTATTAATATTATTATTATTATTATTATTATTATTATTATTATTATTATTATTATATTTGACATCTGTTTTATACACATTTCTTTCAGGGTCCCAACCAGAGATCTATAGTCAGAAATGACTTCATGGCATTTTCGATTGATCATTTGTGTGAGAAGAATTTTTAAAAAAATCTAAAATCCAACACATTTTACATAGAAATATCCCTTTTTAATATATGAGATGTATTTGCAATGTCACATGGCACAGTGGATAAAGGCTTTGGTTAGATCCAGTGGCAGGACCCAAAGAGTGTGAGTTCAATACCCAGCTAATGCAATGGAGAATTTTCAGAGGGAAAGTAACAGGACATAACTGATAACTGACATCCATTAAACATGGCACGTGGAACTAGAACAGTCTACCCCTGTGAGCGAAATAAAGGGTTCAGTTCGACATTCCAACCAGCTGAAGTCCGTAGCGTACAAGGGCCGAAACGTTGAATAATGTAAATAGTGTACATCTCATCTCAGAAATACAAACAGATACTATAGAATGAAACGTTGAATAAATATGGCGACAAACATGATGACAATATTCCGAATAATGTAAATAATTCCTTATATTTCTTTAAGGCCCGTGCTATCAGGAATCGCTTTGGTGGGACTCTTAGACCTTTTTTAACAACTGGAATTATTGATATCCTCATGCACCGCATGTTTTAGATTTCCACTTCAAGATCCTTGTATTTTGATTGCTTTTGTTTTCAAAGATATCCAAAGATACATTACAATCTAAAGGGTCTACCATGTCTATAAAAAACACATTCTGTTTTTGTATTCTTTGACCACGGTGTCTGGGCGATTAGATTTGATGGTTCTATTGGTGTGTATTGTAAAATCCCCTAAAATTGTCACAGTTCCTACCTCTGAAACCGGGCCTGTTTAATGTTCAAATCAGCTTCTTACAGTTTTCTTCTCGTAAAAGTTGCATATTTTCCAGTGCAGATATTGGCCCACTCTATCATGCTGAGTTTTATATTCAGTGGGTGGTAACACCCTATAACCTGATTCAAAATGGTTAATTGATTCTTGATATATATCACACAATCTGCTTTTCAGTTTGATGCAATTTTTCAGTATATGAGCTTGGTAATTTCTAGTTAGTAGGAATTGCATTGTGCTGCAAGAATGAAACTTTCGCTTTCAACTTTTAAACCCGCATTATGTAATTTATGATGAGTACTGGGTTTGTCTCCCTGAGATTGTCTGGCCATGAGTAGGGTTTTCTTGCCGTCGTTTTTGCATTTGCTTTTCCTTTCTTTTGGGGGTTCTTTGCCACTGCAGTAGTTGTATTGCGGTTTATTTGCACTTCTTCATCCACTTGAAATTCCATTTTGAATTTGTTGGTTTCGTTTATTACTAAATAAAGTGTTTTCTATTATTTCTTTCATGTTCTTTGACATAGATCATCATCCAATCTTCTATAGTTTCCAGGTATCTTTGAAGACCGATTGCTGTGGTTTAGTAAGACAGTTCTAGTTGAAATAATCTTCTGCCTCCTTCGAATATGGGCACATACAGAAGATAAATACCAGCCTTATGATGATGCATATGCTGTGGCTATGGAGAAGCTTTCTCCCTTTGATATCCATTCACTTAATATTATCTATAGTCTAATTATAATAATAATAATTATTGTTCTTGTTATTATTATTATTATTATTATTGGTCCTGTAAGAAGAATTATCATGGAAAAATTTCGGAGTTGGTCGTCCATGCCAACTAATAGATTCATACCGTCTGATCCATCGTACGATCTGACCAGCCGATACCATCTGATCTACCGTACGATATGATCCAGTTATAGCATCTGATCCACCAATGTTATCTGATCCATCCATTCTATCTGATTCACCAATAGTACCTGATCCATACAAAGCATCTTATTCATTAATACTAGCTGAGCCATCCTTACAATGTGATTCACCAATATTATCTGATCCATCCATGCCATCTGATTCACCAATAATATCTGACCCATCCATACCATCTCCTTCACCAATATTATCTGATACATCCATACCATCTGATTCACAAATATTATCTCATCCATCCATGCCATCTGATTCACCAATACTATCTCATCCATCCATACCATCTGAGTCACCAATACTATCTGATCCATCCATGCCATCTGATTCACCAATACTAATTGATCCATCCATACCATCTGATTCACCAATGCTATTTGATCCATCCATGCCATCTGATTCACCAATACTAATTGATCCATCCATGCCATCTGATTCACCAATACTATTTGATCCATCCCTACCATCTGATTCACCAATGCTATTTGATCCATCCATACCATCTGATTCACCAATACTATTTGATCCATCCATACCATCTGATTAACCAATACTATCTGATCCATGCAAACCATCTGCGGAAGCCATACCAGCTGATACATTGTAGCTAAATATACTTTATTCTGAAGAATCTGTAAGCTACAGAAAAAGAGACGTAATTAAAAGGAAATATATTTAATTGTAAAACGCTACTCGGGAAATCACATTAAATTAGCTGATAAATATGTTGGTCATACAAAGCAGCCGAGGAAGATTGTGTAGCGAAAATGTGAGAGTATTTTTGCCTTAGTGTGATCTGCTATCTGCCTGTTTATATAGGATAACGTTTGTTGTTTTAAGCATTTTTGCATTGTTTTGCAAATAGGTTTCTTTAAATATTACACGATTAAACTTCCGAAAAACCCTTTACGCTGTACATGCCCGGATGGAATTGAGATGCATCTGATATACTGAAGCGTGTTTTAAACCGAGAAAATAGCGGAAAAGATTTTTGTCGGTTACTGTAAATTTTCGTGGTATAAATAAAGTAGTTTCAGTTTTAAAAGGAAAAATAAGAGCAGGAAAAAAAAAAAAAGAAAGGAAAAGTAAAAAGAAAAGAAATAAAACAGAAAATAAAAAAGAGAAAAAAAGGAAGGTAAAAATAAAAATATAAAAAACCTTGCAGTAGTATGAACAAAAAGTACGAAGGCCGAAAAATAAGGGAGCAAGAAAGAAAAGATCGATCTTTTTTTTAAAATAATTAAAAAGAAAGAAAGAAAGACAGACAGAAAGAAAGAAAAAGAAAGTTAAAGAGAAAAACGAAAATTCCAGTCGAATGAGTCGTGTGTGAAGTTTTCAATCGTAATTTTGTGGAGAAATTGAATTTCCCCACGGGCGAATATGACGTCACGTATCCGGTGCCAGCTGATTGGCGGAAATTAGTCCGCCTCTACAGTGGCGGGAAAAAAGAAATAAAAATGCTGGAAAATGCCTTTCTCAGACATAAGGTGTGTGTCATGGCAGGAGATGGGGAGGTCTTTAGCAATCGGCTAAAGGTTACTTTGGGTGAGATGCGGATGCCTTTTATTTTGCAAGAGAAATATTTTGGATGAAGAATCTTTGGGTTCTGTTGAGTAATGGAAGGTATTATGAAAAGGAAGGGGGGAGGAGTTTTAGGTGAAAGAATTTGGTGTAAATGCAAAGAAAAAAAGAAAGTATATAGAGGATGCACTGGGGAGGTTTGGAAAAAGAAAGAAAGAAAGATGGCAAGATGGGACGAGAAAAAGAAAGAAAAAGGTTCAGATAATAAAAACAAAAATGGGAAATAAAAAGCAAAGAAAAAGGAAAAAAATGATTGGAAATGCAAACAATAAGAATATATAGAAGAAATGTTTTTAAGAAAGAAAGCAAGAAAGAAAGAAAGAAAGAAAAAAGAGTGAGAAAGAAAGAAATAAATAAAAAAGAAAACTAATTGAATAAGAAATAAATAAAACTACTGATAAATAGATCAATAAATACATAACTGAATGTGAAAAACATGAACTACACAAAAAAAATGAAGAAATATATTAAAAAAAAAAAAATAGATAAAGAAAGACAGGAAAATAAATAAAAGCATGAAATAAATAAATAAAAAGAGTAAGGATCAAAAGTAAATGACTATAGAGAAAAACAAAAAATAGAGAAAGAAAGAACACGAACTAAGAAAGAAAGAAAGAAAGAAAGAAAGAAAGAAAGAAAGAAAGAAAGAAAGAAAGAAAGAAAGAAAAGATAAAATGTAAAGTTAAAAGAACTGTACAGAAAACAAAAAAATAGAGAGAGAAAGAAAGAAAGAAGAAAAACTAAGCATGAAATAATAAAAGAAAGAAAGAAAAGAAAAGAGAGGAAAATATCATGCCACTAAAGAAACGAGGAAGGGAAATAAAAAAAAGAAACAATGAAAGTGTAAAGGTGCGCAGAAAGAAAAAAAAGAACAAATGGGTAAAAGAAAGAAGAAGTGCACAAAAAGAAATAACGTGTATAGAAAGAAAGAAAGAAAGAAAGAAAGAAAGAAAGAAAGAAAGAAAGAAAAAATTTAATGTGACTAAACAAACGAGGAGGGAAAATAAAAGAAAGAAAGAAACAAACAAACAATTACAGTGTAAAGGTGCGCAGAAAGAAAAAAAGAAAAAAAATGGATAAAAGAAAGAAGTAGAAATGCACAAAAAGAAATAATGACGATAAAAAGAAACAAAGAAACAAGGAAAAATTTAATGCGACTGAAAAAACTAGGAGGAGAAATAAAAAAAAGAAAGAAACAAAGAACTACAGTGTAAAGTTGCGCAGAAAGAAAAAAAGAAAAGAAAAAATGGGTAAAATAAAAGAACTGACTGGGAAAAACATGAACTGAATAGAATAAATATATATAAGAACTAAAAAGAGATAAAGAAAGAAAGAAAAGAAAAAAAGAAAAGAAAAACAACTGAGTGCAAAATAAAGAAAAAAAGAAAGAAAAGAAAAAAGAAAAGAACGGAAAGGAAAAACTAAAATGAAAATAAATAAATAAACGGAGGAATCGAAAAGAAAGAAAGAAAGAAAGAAAGAAAGAAAAAGAAAGAAAGAAAGAAGGGAACAAGAAAAATAGGAAGTAAACGACAAAAAATTAAAAGGAACTAAGATATAGATAAATAAATAAAGAAGGAGAAAAAAGAAAGAAAAGAAAAAGAAGCTAAAATAAAAGAACAATACAGAAAACAAAAAAATAGAGATAGAAAAGAAGAATGAAAAAGAAATGAACATGAAAAAAGAAAGAAAAAAGAGAAGCTAAAGTAAAAGGACAATACAAAAAAAAAAAAAAAAGAAAGGAAGGAAAAAAATAAAAAGAAACAAAAGTAGAAGAATAAAGAAAACAGCAAAAAGAAATAAAGAACAACAACTACGAATGAAATAAATCAATAAAGAAAGAAAGAAAGAAAGAAAGAAAGAAAGAAAGAAAGAAGGGAAGCCTGGTAATGGAAAGAAAGAAAGAAAGAAAGAAAGAAAGAAAGAAGGAAAGAAAGAAAGGAAGAAAGAAGGGAAGACTGATAATGGAAAGAAAGAAAAAGAAAGACAGTTGTGAGTCCGAAGAAATGGAAAGAGGGGGATATTAAAAAGTGATAAAGGAAATAAGTAGAGTAAAAAAAAGAAAGAAAGAAAGAAAGAAAGAAAGAAAGAAAGAAAGAAAGAAAGAAAAGTAAAAGAAGCAAAATTAAAAGAACTATACAGAAAACAAAAAATAGAGAAAGAAAGAAAGAAAGGACAAGAATTAAGCATGAAATAAAAAAGAAAGAAAGAAAAAGTAAAGAAAGGAAAATATAATGCGACAAAATAAACGAGGAAGGGAAATAAAAGAAAGAAAGAAACAATGAAAGTGTAACGGTGCACAGAAAAAAAAAGAAAAGAAAAAATTGATACAAGAAAGAAGTAGAAGTGCACACAAAGAAATAACATGTATAGAAAGAAAGAAAGAAAAAGTAAAGAAAGAAAGAAGGAAGGGAGGAAGGAAGGAAGTAAAGAAAAAAAAAAAGAAAGAAAACAAATACAGTATCATTTTATAGAAAAACAGTGTGGAATAAAAAAAATAAATAAACAGAATGCAGTAAAAAAAAAAAAAAAAAAAAAGGATATTGAGTATGAGCCAAAAGAAATCCCCACTACACCGGGGGAGGGAGGCAGAGAGAAAGAGGTGAAAAGAATTATAAATGGAAGGGATGGAAAGAAAAATAAATAGTGAACGAAAGAAAGAAAGGAAAGGATTGGAAAGCAGGTGTCATTGAAAAGCAATAAAGGTAGGAATTCTTAGAGAAAAGCAAATTCCTGTTAATTTCTCCGTCAGGACAGATCTCAAAACCGCAGAATGGCAACATATGCAAGAGTAATTTTTGACAAGAGTCGGGGGAGACGAGTATCGGGGTGTGGGGTGCGGAAAATGATGATGCGTCCCCACCAAACCGGACCAAAACAAACCCGCGATCTGCCTGGGTCGGCACAATGAACTCGCTACTCCCGACAAATAAAGGATTAGTCAATTCCAATTTTAGCGGAACGAAACAAAATGGCTTCCATTGTTCAATAGGAAAATTACTTTCACAATTAGTCTGACTTAGAAACACTTTCCGGCAGTTATTTTAGCTAATGGCTCTAACTCATTTGAATGGATGATGATGCTGTGTGTGTGTGTGTGTGTGTGTGTGTGTGTGTGTGTGTGTGTGTGTGTGTGTGTGTGTTTGTGTGTGTGTGTGTTTGTGTGTGAGTGTGTATGTGAGTCTCTGTGTGTGTGTCTGTGCATGTGTGTGTGTTTGTGTCTCTGTGTGTTTGTGTGTGTTTGTGTTTGTGCATATGCGTGTGAGTATGTGTGTGTGTGTGTGTCTGTGTGTTTTGTGGGTGTGTGCCTGCGTGAACCTGTGTGTGTGCGCGCATGTGTGTGTGAGATTAACTCTGTTAGATGATGCGATTACGCATGGATAGGCAATTCTACCTTCTTATTTCATCATTCCACCCTAAGCAGGGCAATAAAGCCACTAAGACACAAGGAGTTACTGAGTGTGAAGGAATAAGGGAAAAAAACACTATTAAGGGGAGAAATCAATTAAAAAAAATTAAGAAAACAAAAGATAATGGCTGACATTGCCTTTGCTTCTTTGATGATCAGAATTGGCTGGAAAGCAAGAAGTCATTTCAACAGTAAAATGATGAGACCTTGCCGCCAAACAAGTACTGCGCTTAATTCATAAAGTTTAGTTACCATAGAACAAAGATCATCAGAAGAGTTATAATAAAAATATCTATAGAAAAACATAGGGGAGCTATAGGACGGCCATGAGTAAATGGCTGAAGTAGGAATGCCACGTCAGGTGCAATAAAATTGCTGATGTTCTTTGAATTATATTAAGAATCTCTCGATATAGCAGTACCACCAGATTATATAGCACCATTATTCTAAGTATGGACGAAAGGTAGATTTAAAATTATGTAAGATAGACTCTGAAGAGAAAAATTATCTCACAAGACACATTGAACTAATTTTCTTAGCTGCAGACCTAACAAATGATTGAATATAAGCTTTCCATTTCTTGTCAACAGAGAACGTTAGCCCGAGATGGCGAAACGTATCACTCTCCTGGAGGTTAGCATCAGCCATGTTGATGGGGATAGAAAGCAAACTCTCCGATGATTAATAGAAAGTAATGTTTTGGAGGCGTTAAAATTAACAAGCCATTCCTTGCCCCAGTAAACAACGGATTATAGGTTATTTTGAGATCATCTGACAAATTGACCTGATCGATCCGATAAGCCTTGAATCAAAGTGTAGTTCCCGGACTCGTTTCCGCGAATCAGCGTTCCGTTATCCGGTATTTGGACAGGAATCAAAATGTAGTAATTATTCTTCACGTCTCAGTTTTGAGTCTGTCTTTGCATAAATCACTGAAAAGATTTTAGCAATGACCGATCTCTAGGATTCCAGCTCGTTTGGTAAGTCATTCTTTGATTCCTTCTGATCTTCTTGCCTATAATATGCCCTGTGAGTGTCAAATTCTCCAGTCCCTCTTTCCGCATTATGTGCACTAGAAATATAAGTTGTCTCATTCTGATTCGATGTAAAATAGTCTTTCTGCATCTGTCTATATCTCTGAGATGAGGTATTATAATGACTTGAATTACTTACATTATTTGGACTGTTATCCTCATCCTTGTCATATTCACAACGTTTCGGCCTCTATATCTCTGAGATGAGGTATTATAATGACTTGAATTACTTACATTATTTGGACTGTTATCCTCATCCTTGTCATATTCACAACGTTTCGGCCTCTATATCTCTGAGATGAGGTATTATAATGACTTGAATTACTTACATTATTCGGACTGTTATCCTCATCCTTGTCATATTCACAACGTTTCGGCCTCTATATCTCTGAGATGAGGTATTATGATTACTTGTATTATTTATATTCTTCGGAGTGTTAGACTCATATTCATTGCTATATTCACAACGTTTCGGCCGTTGTACGCTCCGGTGATTGGAATTTAGAACCGAACCCATTATTTCGTACAGTGGGGTAGATTGTTCTAGTTCCCCTTGCCATGCCTTTTCCGGATGTCTCAGTTATTTCCCTTTAACTGACCTCTCCAAGTTTTTGGTCCCTCACTGCTGTAGCTGGATATTGAACTAACAACTCTTTGGGTATAGCCACTAGATTAAGGCGGCCTGACGAATGCGTCTAGCAAGAAAAAGCCTGTCGCCTCCGAATATTGATGTCAATGATCACTTTTGTATTTATACTTACATACGGTCTATCTTTTGATATTGAGCACTTTATCCCATAAATATAGAACACCTTAAAACTATATTTCTTCATATATATATATATATATATATATATATATATATATATATATATATTAGGTTGTTGCAAAAATAATGACGTAATAATGTCGTTTTTTACGTATTTTTAACGTCGAAAAACGACATTATTACGTCATTATTTTGCACCAACCTAATATATACATACATACACACACACACACATATATATATATACACACACATATATATATATATATATATATATATATATATATACATGTATATATGGAGATAGATAGATAGATAGAAATAGACTGAGATAGATAGATAGATAGATAGTCACCCATTATACATAATTTTAATCGATTTGGTAACCAGGAGTAGTGAGCGAGTTCGCTGACAGTGTGCCTATAGAGTAAGAAATTAAATTACGTGTCAAATAGAATTCTCAAATAACGATAGGTAATAAATATAAATTTCTACTCAGAAATAGGCATCGATTTCGATACAAACTATTTCCTATCAGTATATATATATATATATATATATATATATATATATATATATATATATATATATATATATATATATATAAAGCACTAATATTCCATGTTTATAATTTATTACATTGGGATCGTAATCATGATTCCATTCATCAGACCTACAAATTCAAAAAGAAAACAGAAAAAAGAAAATATGTTCTTTTTTTTATATTATATTTTTGGTCTGACTTGGGCATTGAGCTCTACTTGGATTCTATCCTCTTGGACATATATATATATATATATATATATATATATATATATATATATATATATATATATGCACACACACATACAATCATGTATGCATACATATACGTAAACACATATATGCACACGCATATATTAAAACACATATGCATATATATATATATATATATATATATATATATATATATATATATATATGTATATATATATACGTATATATACACGCATACACACAAACACACACAGACAAACACACAAAAGACACACAAACACGCATACACACACACGCATCAATTAGGTCTCAT